AGACTAGGGCAGGGCAGCCGGGCAGGCATGCATATACATATGTAAGTCAACCTTACAGCTCTTTTCTTCTTTTCTGCCCGGCCGCGGGGGCGCCCTCTCCACCCCCTCCTCTCCCTTGCGCCGCGTCGCGCGTGCGCGTCCCCTCCCATTTTCCACCGCTCGTTCCCGGGCATCCTTCGCCTAGATCTCTGGGTGGGCTTTCTGCTGCAGGCCAAGGGATGGGATGAGGGAAGGGGGGTGGGTCGGTGGGCTTTCCTGGGCCCGGGCAGGCAGCGTTGGATTTGGGTATTTGGGCGGTAGGTAGGCACCCACTGCACGCCCACCAGCGTGCTGCATGAAGGGCGGCCGGCGCGACCCCACCATGCTGCATATGGAAGAGAGCACAGAAGGGAAAATGGGAGTTGACCAAGCATTGAAGCAAGGGCTCGACCGCATGTCAGCGACGCGAGTGGAGGATGGGCTGGAGGATGGGAGCAAGCAGGAGCGAGCAGGAGGCCGCAATTCAACCCTCACCTTTTTCTACTCCGGCTCTTGTGTGTGTGTGGAGGCCGCCTCCCACCCACCAGCACACGCCTACCACTTTGTCCTGCCTGCCCCAGTTAGGAAGCATGCGAGTCCCCGGGACGATCCACGGCACTGGGGGAGCACGTTGATTGTCAGGTGAGTCAGATGTCCGATATTGCCATGCCCCCTCCTCGCATTGCGTACCTGCGCATGCATCAGCGTTGTGCGCTGCTTCCTCAGGCTATAGCACCTGATTCCAATTTAATGTCTGGGACTTCAATGTCCGGGACTTGTGGGCATGTGCGAATTGTCGGCCGCTGGCATGCGAGCAGCAAGTAGAAAAAAAAAAACGCCGTTTTCGCACATGTCGATCCCTTAGGCCGGCCTGTTCGCTCCGTGTCAGCAGCTCCCCGAGCTCGGGTCCGTCTGGCCGGTTTTCGGCTTGGACCTGTGATTCTTGTCTCTACCACAGGGTTGGGCAGCCATTTCCCCATGCACCATTGCCCTATGGCTTGCGCCACTGTAGTCGGCTCCCAGACCCGTCCGGCCCCTGTTACGCCTTCGGGGACCCGGGAAGGCCCACCCAGGTACATCATCCACCGCCGCTAACTGCCCATGTTGGACAAGAGGTGCCTATCCCTAGCCTATGGGCCCGAGAGGTTGGGCCGTTGGGCTAGATAGTCACCGCTTATTGGGAAAATACCTCGTGAGCTGTACCAAGGTCGTAGCCAGGCAGTAGCTAGCCGTTCATTGCTCCTCAAAGCTCCGCACTACGCATCAGAGTGACAGGTGACAGAATAGCAGCGGGTGAAACGGAAGGGCCAGGCTAGGCCAGGCTAGCTCGGGCCTGTCAATGATATGAGTATATGCATCGAGCCTCGACGAATATGAGCCTAGGCGCAGTTGCGCTGGAAGCAGTGGGTTGCCTCCCTCAAAATATCGCTCGCCGTGCCAGCCGGTCCAAGAGCAGTGGCATGGGCGCTGGTTGGTAGGGGTTGGGTTGGCTGGTGGGACTCGGTGTGCCTCTTCGCATCGTTCTCTGGTCACCCCCCATCGAGTTAGCTGCGGTCCTGGAGGCAGGGGTCGGCTAATTGCTGCGTACCTTTGCCTTCTTTCTCTGCCCAGTGAATTTGTTCCTATTTTTCATCCCTTTTTGCTGTCACCTCCAGCACCCTTATCGCCCATCTCTCCATCACCTCATCCACTCTTGCACCTCCCGGTTATGCAGTGTAATGGAACATGAACATGAGGTCTGTGATCTAAGCTGGATTCGAGACACATGCTTAACGTTTCTATGAGTTGCATTGGGGTCAAGCGTCCCCGTCTTTTGTGTGCTGGTTCGTGTCGGAAACAGCAGTAGCAACAGCAGCAAAGCAGTACCACCGCCAGCGCTCAATTCACTCGATATCGCGAGGCACGGCATGCTTCGAAACAGCTTGACTCGGCCGTTAGTATAGCGCCCTGTCTGTCCATCACGGGGAGGGCCGGTCTAGAGGTACGCAGCTCTGAGGCAGCCAGTGGAATGCCCTGAGCGCATGCCGTTGAAGTTCGGGGAGCGTCACGAGTTTTTGCCGTCAACCAAAGGCAGTCGAAACCGAGGTCCTGTCTTGTGGGGAGACAGGCCTAGCCTGGGCGCTGTCAGTGATTGGAGTGCATGCGGTGCATAGTTGACGAACGGCTAGCGCAGAGGCCGGCCGGCGAGGACATGCCAGATCTGGCCCATCGGGCTTCTTGCTTGTCCCCCGATTGTGTTTCCTCGGGCTCGACGGCCTCGATTGGTGGCGCGGACATGATATTGATGATTGCGGGCGGTCCTTTGTTTGGGCCCAGACGCCGGCCCCATGTTGGCTCCCTCCGAGAGGCCTATTGCCGAGCCGCAGCCACGAAAGACGCGCTGTAACATTGAGGCCGTTGGCTGACTATGCAGGACATTCGGCCCTTGGTTCATGCCGCATGCGTAGCGACTTATCCAGACCCTCGTGGGTAGGACCAGTTAGTCGATGGGTGGCTGTCTCCTTCGGCAAAGCACACAGAGAACAGCACCAGAGACAATCGGTGGCTCTGGTGTCAAGCCCATGGGGAGTGGTGAGTAAGACATGTGGTGACCTCGCAGCCAAGCGCGTTCCCGCCCAACCGCCCAAGCTGGGCCAAGCCAATTCCGCGATGCATCGTCGGGGCGCTGGGGAATCGGTCATCTGGGAGCCTCGGTACGCGGGCCACATATGCAGCGGGAGGTGCTGTGGCTGCTGGTGGAGCGGAGCCCTGGCTAGACCGTGGAACCGCCAAAAGGCAAAAAGAAAAAGGAGGGCTCGCTGGAATTCCCTAGCGAGAAAACGTAATTCTGCAAGTAAAGTCAACCAATCATAATTCGAGAAAATCAAAAATACCCTAGACCAGCAGCTTCCCTGTTGGCATCCAAAAAGACGGTGGGACGTTCGCCCAAATGAGGGCGGAGCGACCAGGCAGGCACCACTGGCTTTTGCATCTCGGATACCGCCCGCCGATGGAGAAGGTGCGATGGAGAAGCAACCTGCCATCCTGAGGCCAGAACATCCTGAGGCCAGAAGGAATCGGCCAGAACACTGCCACAAAGGGTTAGATCAATCTGATAAACAGCGGACAGCGGGCAGCAAGGGGCCCTGCCGCGGTCCTTTCCGCCTCTTTTTTTCTTTCTTTTTTTCTTTTCGGTGCAACCTGGGCAACACACACCAAAAAGAGAACAGTGTGCCCGACATGCTGCACTTCTGCCTGACTGTCGCGATTTGAGCCTAGACGTCGCCTGGCTCTGCACCACCACCACGTTGTCTCCCTGGTCCTCTCCCTGGTCCGGCCAACAAGAGCGCGCCCACCGATGATCCAACGCTTGGCTTCCTCTTTCTGTCTGCCGCTGTAGCGTCAGCGCGCTTGTTCGACACTGACTGGGGCCTTGGGCCTTGGGCCTTTGCCTCTGGGAGTCTTCGCTCCCTCGCTAGTCCCGCTTCCGGGTGCGTCCTGCATGAATGGAGCAGCCAGCCAACTATCCAGCAGCCAGACGAGGGGGGTGGAGGGTTGAGGGTTGAGGGTAGAGGTCACGGTACAAGCTGTCCGATCCGCAAGCCCGCACCTGGACCGACACCAGACACAGTAAACGCTGCCACCTCGTACCCCCAGCCGTGAACCGAGAGACGTGCTTGCCTGCTGCCCCATCCACCCCGGACCGGCCGTTTCTGCCCTGTCTGCAAATCCCATCTACCGGTTTTTCTGTCCATTTTCTCGCCTCCGCTGGCTTAAGCGGGCGAACTAGCGGAATCCGCCGCGGTACCATGCCCGTTGCAAACCAGGCCCAAAACAACAGGGAGCTCCCAAACTCAGCGGCCGGACGATTCAAGTCAAGTGCTAGGCCGGCCCCTAAACCACAAGCGGACTGTCAGCTCGCCGTCACTGTCCGACGCGGCACAGATGCCACTGCGTCTGAGTCCCCACGTCTGGCCATGTGCCCGACGTATGCCGAAAGCTCTCCTTGTGTTGCCGTGCCCATCCCTCTCCATGCCCCCATCCCCGTCGCGCACCGCATTACCGGTCAGCCAAAGTCACCCCGTCCCTGATTTGTCCAACTGGACAGGCTCTGGGGGATGGGACGCTTGATTTCCATTTTGGCTGTACTGCTGGATGCGCCCACGCCCCCTCGCCTCTGGTGAGAAATTAAGACAGGACAGGGGAAATTCTGGCCAGATAAAAAAAAATGAGCACGAAAAAAGCCCAAACTAAGCCATTCCCTCTTCCCACCCACACACCGCACTAAGCAGCCAAAAAAGGTCACCTAAACCATGCCTTTTGGTCTTCACAAGCATGGCCGAGGAGTCTCCGGGTCTCAATGCTTCCATCTATATGGGTAATCCCCGCCTCTACTTTGCTCTACCCTCACACCCCTTCGTCATGATCCATGGCACCCTCGGCCGCCGTCTATCCCGGCCCAACATATCTCACTCTGGCCACATTACTCCATAGGCCTTTGCACCACACACGCCCCTACCCTGCCCATATCTCCACCAATGCAAATCCGTGGGATTTGCCCCTCGGCATATGCACCGCTTTTCAATTTTTTTTTTTCTTGTCGTCTCTATCTTATATGCCTCCTGATCAGACGAGCCTGCCGCCCCAGCACCAATCCGAGCTCGACCCTTCTTCCACGAGTGGGTGTATTCAAGGATCACCCCACGGCATGAATCCCAGACAGGGGGGTAGGGTAGGTTACGGAGGGTCCAGATGTGTACCCCCATGGGACTAGACCGACATGGCTATCACCACATCCACCATCGCCGTCGTCATATCCGCCTCCCACCATGCTCGTCTCGAGCGGGGTCAAGACCGCACCGGAAGTGGTCGGTCCTAGATATTGACGAATAGATCCGTCACTCCTTATCCCCCATGGAGGCACTCCTATGGAAACCATAGACCTTTTTCGACAGGGGGGCCCTCGCAAAAAAGGTATAAATAGGGCCCCTTTGTTCGGTTCTGGTCTTTTTGATTCATCTTCCTCTTCCATCTGAACTTCTTCCTCAAGCTTCTCCCCAGTCGAACTTGCTCAGACGAAGCCGCTTGCTTGACACCTTGTTCACAAAGCGCCTCCTCCTCACAGACCTCCACCAACATCGCACTACACTTCACCCATACCCCGAGCACACATACCACAGACACACTCCCACACGCACACATCCTCAAACAATATCATACTCACCGTTCCGTCATCGCTTTTCCCTCCCGGCTACACCTTAAAAGCCACATCTTGTCCTCCCTGAACCTTTGCGGGGAGCAAACACTATCGATTTGGAGTCACCATCTTTCCACCTCGCTGTCTGCTCAAGCATATAGCAACTTTGCCCACAGCACCACCAGAGCTCGGAGCTGCTATTCCACACTCACATCCCACCACAATGTCGTCAGCCTACGGCAGCGAGTACTACCCGGCCAGCGGCGCCCTCCCCATGGCAGTGCCAATGGGCAAGGATGGCCACATGGATCACTACGGCGGCTACTACGCTGGTGGCGACAGGGGCCATGGTGCCTATTCTGTCTCGCCGCCCGAGTCGGAGGCAGCGGGTAGCAGCAGCGCCGCATCCGCGGGGCTGGCCTCGTACAGCAGCGGATCGGGATACTCGTCCTCGGCCATGTACTCGCCTGCGGCGGGTTACGGCGACGCGAGCGGCTATGCCAGCTACGCGGCCAGCAGCCATGGCGACTACGAGAGCGCTGCGTCGGCCAGCGGGGTCGACTTCAACGAGTACGTTCAGGAGCGTTTCGACGAGGTCCGAAACCCGGTTGTTATGGACAACTGCACTGTGACACAGGCCAAAGTGTGAGTTTCCGCCTGCCGACCCCTTGCAATCACACCTCTCCCGATTCCCGGTTTCGCCAACGCAGCGTGCCGACTTGCCATGCTCGGCAGCCGCACACGGCCGGCTAGTTGCGTCTTTTTGAGAGGTGCGCTGACGAGAAGCCGAAATTCACCGTGGAATCATAGCTCCGGAGGTCTGAACGCCAAGCACCGTGAATTGCTCGACCTTCAAAAGAAGGCTCAAGCCCGCCTCGCAAAGTCCCGCGCCAGGTACACGGAGGGGATGGCCGCCGCTTACGAAGTGCGCGAGGACCTCGAATGGACACAAAAGACGCTTTCGTAAGTGGTTCCCACAGTCCCTGGTCTATTTTATTTTTCTCAGATTCCCCCGGATCTGTCTGTTCTTTTCCTTTTCGCTTTGAATTTGGAGAGTGGACGAAGCGCGCGCATCGACCCTTTCTGGACCCTCGAGAACGAGCACGCATTGCCCGCAAACATTCACCCAATTCGTTTTTGGAGCCCAAGCCAATTCCTATTAAACATGTTGCTAACACAGCTCGCATTTGGCACAAAAAAAAACAGGTCCATTCAAGCAAAAGCCTCCAAGAAGCACACCAAGGAGTACAAGAAGGCCCGTGAGCGATACCCGTCTCCGGACTACTAAAGTTCCAGATGCCGCGGACGTCGTTCCCGCAAGGTTGAGCCTCAAACTCAAACGCCAGGCCCCCAACCACATTTCTAGACCACCCTGCCTACCCCTGACGGTTTGCAACGTTTAGCGTGCGAGTCGCTCTGCCATTTTTAATCCTTATCGCTTCTCATGAAGAAGACGATGCCTCGGGAAAGTTCCCGGAATCAGATCTGTCTTTTTTTCCTTCTGGGTCTTTTTTTTTTTTTTTTGGAGTCGTCGTTCGGTGTTTCCTGCCACCATTTAATTTTTCCAGTCATTCTATTCCCACGCATTGTCTTGGATTTTGATGTTACACGCTGCCCCTTCAGCCGCCGGCCGCATCGCACGCCCCCTCCATTCCTCGATTTATGGTGTTTTCCCCAGGCACGGTTATGCAGGTGTCGGGATGGGAAAACCCGCCGAGTGGTGTGTGGGGGAGGCGAGCAGAGCGAGCGACAGGGGTTGACAACAGGATCGCTACGGGGATAAAAAAACCGCACCGGGAACTGCCGTTGCATTTTGCAGCGCGGCAGACAAAGGCCCGGCACACGCGTGCTCCTGCACGTTAAACGCCATTTTCCGTGCTGCTTTGGCTCAAGAGGCCCCGATGGTGGTGTGGCGGCTGTTGGGGTGGTGAGGGCGTGTCTTTTCGGATTCTGACTCCCCTCTCTCTGCTCCTTATTTCTCCCCACCACCCATTTTTTCTTATGTTTTTTTTCTTACTCCCACGCGGGGCGGTTATTCTTGCGAGCATTACGGGCTATGATTGGACGAAATCTGAACGAGCTGGGGGAAAACGCCCATCTTTCTATTTTGGGAGTGTTTGCCGGGCAGGGGAGGGGAAAAAAAAGCCATGGCATGTACAGGTACAAAGCCTGCCGATTTCCCAGCGCTGCGGGCTGTGGGGGGATGACACCCCTAGGGGTGTGTGCTGCGCTGGACAACAGACGCTGCAAGGAACATCTGGGCTGGGAAGCCAGGCTGGAAAGGGTGGGCGGACGTGTGTGTGGACCAAGGGCCCGCCGCGGGAGTTCCCTTGCACCCGGTCGGCGCATGGCGACATGGCTGACGGCGGAGACGGAACTCTGGCCGAGATCTGGACACTGGGAATGGAAAAACGGAGAGCGCTTGTCTGCTTTGGGCTATGGGTATTGCTGTTTTGGGACGAGACATGACGGCAGAGTGCCGGTAGATAGACCAGGGGAGGGGTGACGAGATGGAGGGGAAGGGCGGAAGAGCGGTGGGAAGGGGGCACCTCCAGCCTCAGCTCGCTCTCTGGGCTCTCATTGGGCGTTCAGGTCGAACCTCTCGGCTGGTGTTTTTTCCTATTTCCGGTCTCGATACGGTAGCGATAACTTGGTTTTTTTTTCTCCCTTCCCTCTTTGATCCTCGGGCCTGTGCCGCCGTCCCCCTTGGCAGACGCCCCCCTCATCCCCCTAGCCCCTCTCTCGCCCGTGTGCCCTCGCTGACGTGGGAGGAGGGCGGATGATCATGTGATGTGGACAGAAGTCGGTGGTTGCTTGACTTCCGATGGTGTTGGAGGGGCTGTTTTTTTATCCCACCCCCTGATATGTCACGTGACCATATGTCCATACCCCTGGCGAGGCGTTGAAGCCCGACGTAGCCCAACGGGAGGGGTAGGGCCTGCGCGGGGGGTCTGCAACGGGGCGAGGAATATGACGTGTTAATTTTGTTGAGGAGGAATCGGCTGTTTTGTTCCCTTGGGGCCAGTGCCGTTCTTGGAAGCATGCTGCTGCTGCTGCTGCTGCGCCGTGGCATCATTTCACGTCTTTGACGTCCACTGGTCGCCCGACGCGCCTCGAGGGTAAAATGCTTGGCGGTGAGTACGTACACCCCCTCATTATACTTCTCTTCCTTTTTTTTTTTGGTTTCCAGGGGTACGTTGTGCTTTAGTTGGTGCTGAAGGAAGAAAAAAAAAGAACCCTTCTGATTCCCCTTTGACTTTTTCGAGTTGGTGTTTTTTTTTGGGGGTGGAAACGGAGACAAATCAATAAACGTGACCGCGGGGCGGGGGCCAAGAGCCTCTCGGCTCCAGGCCGAGCGACTTCTCGAGGCGCGCCCACGGGTTCTCGTTGAACCTCTGGTCGTAGTAGTCGAGCCACCACTGCCGGCCCGAGGCGGACGGGTCGCCGTGTCGGCCGCTGCCGCCGCCGCCCCTGCCGTGGTGCTGGTGGTGTTGTTGTTGTTGCTGGCTGTGGGGCCCCGAAGTGGGTCCGTCGCCACCGCCGCCAGCGGGCGGGCGCGGCGGGAGGCCAGCAGGAGGGGTGGCCACTGCGGCGGGTGCGCCGCCGCCGCCGCCCTCGTCGTTGTCGTCGTCGTCATCGTCATCGTCGAGGTCGATCTCGTCGTCGTTGGTGGAAGGAGCAGCAATAGCAATAGCAGCGGCGACAGCGGCGGCGGCCTGGTGGAGGGGCAGCTCCGCGCTCTGCGGCTGCGGCTGCGGCTGCGGCTGGGCTGGTCGCCGGGCGCCCAGCGGCGTGCCGTTGGCGGCGGAGCCCTGCGGCCGCTCGACGAAGGCGTCGTTCATGCGGCGCTTCTTGGACGGGCGCGTCTGGGCGCCGAAGCCGGCGAAGCCCATGGTCTCGGCCATGAGGGCGGCGTCGTCGGAGCCGTCTGAGCCGTCTGAGCCGTCGTCGTGGACCGACATTTTTTTTTTTTTGTTGTTGTCGTCGTGGTCTGGGGCTGGCTGCGTCTTTAATCCAGGCGGCGTACCAAACTTTGTAGGTGGTGCGAGGCTAAAATAAAGTTGTGTGCAGCCTGGACTCTCCTCGGACTCCTCGGAATGGAGGAGGGACAGAGATGATGTGGATGGCTGGCGCGAAGATCAAAGCCGCCTGAATGGGAAAGTGGTCAAGGCGCATGTCAGAATTGAGTTGTGGTGTTGCTCTGCAGACAAGGGGTGCGTCGTGTGGCTGACAGGCGCTGGAAGGGCTTCATATTCACCTTCAAAATCCGCCCAAGACGGCTCGAAACTCTCGGCCTCGGTTTTTTTTGTCGCTGAACCCCAGTCCATTCAAATTACAAATGAAACGTCATCCTGTGTTAGCATGCCAACCTCGAGGGTCATCTCGGCGGAAAGGCAGAGCGAATCGACTTGAAGAAGCTGGATTATGGACGGTGCGGGGCCAATAAGGCGACCGGCTGCCTGGAGAGGAAGGCGACCTGTCCAGAAAGCGACATTCATTGGTCGTCTCCGCATCACGGTCATAGTGAACCCAGTCGCCGATAACTACGAAAGCGGTGTCTTGAGACTGTTGCCGAAATCCAGCAAGAGATAGGACACCAAGACAACCACAGAATTGGGGAATAAAACGAACTAGCGTCAGATTATACTGTCCAGCATTGAAGCAGCGATGATACAGGCAGACAAGAAAAGGCTATCAAATGGTGAGCAATCAATCAGACTTCCATGTGCCACATAAAAACAAAACAAAACAAAAGCAGACCAACACGCTCACTCGGCCCAGTCCTCCTATTCCTGATTCTCTCCGCCGTCAACGTGGCCTTCAACGCCGCCGCGGGTCCAGCAGCGGTAGCGACAGGGGCGCATGTCAACGACTCCAGCGCGCCGCCCCCGCCCGGCCGGGTGCTGGGGATCGGGGCCGCGGCGGGCGCGACAAGGGCGGGTGTTCCGGCGTTTGTCGGGCTCCTCACGCTGGTCAACTACCTTGGTGTCGGGCCCGCACATCTGCTCATCGTGGTCAGCAGTGTCTTTGGCCTGTCGGTGCTACTCACGGCGCAGGTGTGCAATGAGGCACTGGGTGAGAGTTGGTCTTTTTCTTCTTTATTCTCGTTTTCTTCCTCTCTTTCTATACGGTTTTGGATTGGAGCTCTAGACTAGGATGACGGTTCTGCTTCCAACGGCCATGATCCAAGCCGGGCTTACATACAAGAGACTGACTACTTACATGCAAAACAGCTCCGCCCGAACTCCTCAAGGCGGCACTCGTCGCCGCCGTGCCGATCCAGCTCGAGACAGCGATAAGAATCAGTAAGTCATGCAAGATTACTTTACTTTCCTATCATCACCCAGGTAAACGCGCTTCCTGGTAGACCAAGATCTCGACGCAACGCTCAGCGCTTGAAATATTTATGCAAATTTCCCGTGGAAAAAAGGAAAGACCTAACGTATCCGGATCCACATGCTTTGACAAAACAACCACAGAAATAACACCAAGCGGGAAAGAATATAAAAAGATAGGCAAGGCGCGCATGCTTGTCACCCTTCTAATCCGATATTTACAGATTATTGGGTGGGACGCCCTCTGTGGTTACACTTTTGCGACGATGGCTGGAAGCCTGGGGCGGCCCGTGTGTTCAAGAACCGCCGCCGCCGCCGCCGGAGGTGTGTATGGCGCTGTGTGGGGGATTTCCAAGCTGATATCGGACTTTGCCTCGAGATGGTTCGAAATTAAAAATGAGTGAGCACTGTGGCGGCCAGTAAAGTACTACTTTGCCTACCCGGTACAGCGCTTTAATTTTATATGTCACGGTCCCCCGGAAACAGCCATCACCCTCCGGCCACGTCCAGGTATGCCTTCTCCTCTTCGACGTCGGCCCCGGACGGCGGCGTCCCCTTGGTTGAGTTGCTCAATAAACGCCCTCGTCGCTACATTCTTTCTCATGGTGGCTGTGCAGCTTTTGGCGCTTTTGGTACCATTCGTGTTCGCTTGTTTAAATCACAGTTATAGGGATGATATCATTGCGTTATGGCGTGGAACGCACTCCGCGGGTGGGGGGACGTCCTGCTTCGTCGCAGACCAAGAAAATAGGGGAGCCTCTTAGGCCCTCATCCCCAAGGCCCCCTCCATCGACGACAGTCCGCCCCGATCATCCAGAGAGCATCATTTGCAGTGTTTTCAGCGTGTTGATTCGCGGCGGAGACGAGATCAAAGACACGTTCTTCGCTTCCGCAAGATGAACCGAGAAGATACCATCAACCATGGCGGGCTTCATATCCCTTTCGTCGCTGTCGCCAATATATGCAATATCGCCAGAGCCCACGCCCAGGTGCTGCAGGACCTTCCCGAACAAGCCGTCCACCTTGGATACCCCGAAGCGGTTTGTCGTGGCGAGGAAGTCGACGTAGCCGGCGATCCCGAGAGCTTCGACCGTCCGCTCCTGAGCATCCTGTGGGCCTTCGGTGATAACGACAATCTTTTTGCCAAGATTTTTGATAGTCGATAGGAGGCTTAGCGCACCGCATTTTAACTCGAGAGACGCCACCAGGGTGGCTTCGTAGGAGGTCAGGAGACCGTCCATAAACTCCGTGTCGTGGGGGAGCGAGAAGTGCTCCAGCAGCGAGAACCGCTCCTTCCGGTAGTCGAAGGACGTCTTTCCGTCGGAGAAGGCGTTCGCTGTTCCTTTTCGGAGGATCTTGGAGTACTCCTCTTTCAAGGCAGGCGCGGGGACTCCATGCCGCTCAGTTATTTTTGAAAAGACGGTTGCGGTGGCGGCAGAGGAGGCGCGGCGGAATTCGTGCAGGGTGTCGTCAAGGTCGAACCCCACCCATGTCTTCTCCAAGAGGATGGCCCGGAGGCGTTGCTCATGTTCATAGGTTGGAGGGGTGTCCATGTCCGAAATCGGCCGATGGGGGCTGAATAGATAACACAGAAGCAGCAGCACGGCCATGTGGGAACGTTGGTTTAAGTCCTTGAGCGGTCTTGACAAACGGTAGCAGGTGTATCATCTCGAGTCGGAACCAACGGACAATGAACATCTGTGGTGGGGCATGCCGCGCGGTACTTTAGCGGATGCATTGGGCGTGTATCAAATGGACGGTAGGATTTGTGTAAGCCCACTGGTAGCTTGTCATCTATTCATACACGCGTTGGATTAGCTAGAGCTTCACTGAAAGCGCGCATGTTCCCCCAACTGTGGCCAATTCAGTTTGTTTTGCTGCTGGAATGCCAGTATCCCCTGCCAATTTTGTATTTGGGCAACGCGATTTGGAGGTAGCTCCAGCTCGAAGCTTCTGCTTGGCAACAGGGGTGTTGGAGATGCCTGGGAAGCTGCGACACGATACGCAGGGTCCAGGCGCAGATCGCTTCGGTCAATTGGACCCCCCTACTCGACTCCTGTCTCCTCTCTAAACCCCAAGCGCAAGACTCACTCTGCAAAACACCGACGCCTCGCTATTCACTTCGCAACCCAATTAATTCATTAATTTTCCCCTGCTCTGCTCAAACCAAGTCTCGAGCCTCGGAACCTGTTTCAGCTGTCCTCCTGCCCACAGCCAAAATGTCGTCGCCAGCCATCACCCTCCAGCCCCCGTCCAAGTACGCCTCCTCCTCCTCCTCCTCCTCCCCGACGCCCGCCCCGGACGGCGGCCCCTCGGCCGAGCTCCTCCACCGCACCTGGTCCGTGACGCACTCAACGCTGTCCATGTGGCGCACCGCCCGCAACGTCCGCATAACCTACAAGCCGCTGCCGCCCTCGTCGTCGTCCGCGGCCCGCATGGACGATCTGGTCGAGTACGAGAGCCGGGACGGCGAGGGCGGCGTCAAGTCCGTCGCCGGCGTCGACACGGCCTCGGCCGGCGGCACCGCCAACACGTCTTGGGACTGGCGCGGCAAGGGCCTGCTCTTCTTCGTCACGAGCCACTGGGAGGTGCTGGGCTGGGGCGAGCGGCCGCTCGCGTCGTCGGGCCACGACGACAATGGAGGGGGCGCTGAGAGGTGGGCCGTGACGTGGTTCGCGCCCACGCTCTTCACGGCCGAGGGGCTCGACATCTACTGCGACCGCCCCGAGGGCCTGAGCGACGAGACGGCGGCCCTCGTGCTGGCGGCGCTCAAGGATATGGGGGTCGAGGAGCTGGCGGCCATGGTCGAGAAGGACATGCAGCCCGTCGAGATCTCGCTGCCGTGGAAGACCAAGTGACCAACGGGAGAACAAATGACGCGCGTCTCTGACTGTTCTTGTCATCTCTTTTGCTTGTTTTGCTGAGCATGGCGTTTTGGGCGGGGAGGAAACATGGGCAAGATCAAAGTTTGTTGGAGTAGGCTTCGTTGCTGGTATTGTAAGCTTGTAAGATGGAAATAGACCAAGCCAAGGTGGCGGGATCACCTTGCCAATCGTTACCCCTAATTTACCCGTCATCCTCTCCCCTAATGCGATGACGCCTATCGTGACCACTCCGACCCCTGTCGCGCTCGTCGCGAGGCGAACGGCTCCGTCGGCGCCCGTCTCTGCTTCGGTCCCTCCTGCGTTCGCCGCTCCGACTCCTGCTCCGGCCTCCCTGCCGCTTTTGGCGGCCAGGCCCATCATGTCCCTGACCGTGCCTGCTACCGCGCTCCGAGCCCCCCTCACCATCGTGCCCCCGATCTCGTTCCCCGTCGTCCCGCCACCGCCGCCCCCGGGCGGCCCTCCTCCTCTCCTCGGCCCTCTCCCGCCGCCTCTCGTCCCGCCTCAGCCCCCGCAGCGCCTCCTCGCGCTCCTCGGCCTCGCGCCGCCTGCTCCTGTTGACCTCGCGCGCCTGCCTCGCCCCCTTCCTCATGGCAGCGAGCGGGTCGTCCGAGACGAAGCGCGCGGCCGCCCTCGCCTTGCGGCCCGGGTCCTCGCGCCCAAAGACGTTGTGCGTCGGCACCCCCTCGGGCCCCGCGTCGTCGCCGCCGCCGCCGACGTTGGTCTCCTCCTTCTTCCCGCCGTCAACGTACCACGGCTTCCCCGCCACTGCGGAACCCCTCCCCGCCGCGTCTGCGAGGCGCATCCCCCCGCTGCCGCCGCTGTCGTTGGCGTGTTTCTCCGCGGCCGCCCGGTTACTCCTGCCGCCACCGCCGCCGCCGCCGCCGCCGCCCTGTCCAAAGAGGTCGATGTGGCCCCTGCCGTCCACGATCGGCCGCGCCGCCACCGCCGCCTCCTCCTCCCCGCCCGCCCGCCTGCCCTCCCGCCCCCTCGCCTGCAGCAGCGCCGCCTCGGCCTGCCGCTCGCGCGCCACGCGCATCTCAAAGTCCGTCTCGTCCTCCCCGTGCCGCCTGCGCGGCCTGCGACCACCCTTCTCCTTCTTCCCCTCCTCCTCCTCCTCTTCCTCTTCCTCCCCCACATCACCGTCCGCCGCCTCGCCGCGCAGGACCGCCATGCGCCGCGCGCCCTCGCGGTCCCGCCGCCGGTCCTCGGCCGCCTGGTCCGCGGCGCGCGCGGCCTCCTCGTCGGCGCGCACGCGCGCGATGTTGGCGGGGCTGTAGACGTTCCATGACTTCTTGCCTAGGAGGTGGCTTTGTTGTCGTTGAGTAGGTTTTTTTTTGTGGTTAGTCTCGGGTCTGTCTTCGCGTGTAGAAGAGGCTGGTTGGGCTCCTACAGTGGCATTTTTCGACCAAGCTTTCCGCGCGCGCGGCGCGCTCGAGGTTTATGAGGTAGTTTGGTCGGTGGTAAAGGAGATCCCTGTCAGGTGATATCTCCGTCTAACAAGTCGAACGGTTCTCGGGAGCTTTATTGCTGTTGCGCCGGGCTAGAGGTAGATAGATGAAAGTCGCGACGTTGGGAACTTAATTGAGGGCGCGCTGGCTGGGATTATGACGCCCCAGGCCATTTCGGCATTGGGGCAGGCAGCGGTCCGGCCCACTGTGGGGAAGCGGCACGTCAGCGTCATGCCGCGAAACTGCAGCGCCGTTACAGGGGTTCAGCTTTCCCACGCCGCCGACTTACAGGCTGAGAATTTGTAAGCATCAGACACAACACCAACGAATCTGGTATCCAAATCCAACGCTCCAGATCCAAAGACACTGGCGTTTCTCAATTTGTGCGCAAGCTACCGACACAGCGATCGACTGTAAATAAATGACTTGCAAAAACGACCGAAAGAGGGGTATCCTTCCTGATTATATCCTCCCAACCGCCGATCCCAGGTATCTCGTTTCCTTCCACCCCCTCCGCCTTACTGACACGGTCCATTGCGTCCAATCATAGCGAGTGCCATATCATAAAAAATACATAGGAAAATCCAAAAAGATCCAAGGAACTGGACGTGCCAAGCCCATCTGTCCATCCGTCTTTGGGTGACGAAGACGGGAGCAAAAGGCTAGCGGCGTTCCAAAGGGAACAGGGCATAGCATAGCCCAGAATGTACAAAAACAAGATAGAATTCATGGGGTTCCCCTCATGACTCAAATGTTCTCAATCACGCGGGCATTCAGGGCCTGCTGATACCCGCTATTGTCACTAGCGGCGAACTCGCGGAAGGGGTTGTTGTCGTCATCGTCACCCCCGGCGGCCCTCGAGCTGTTGGCGGCGGCGAACTGCTGCGTCGTCGGCATGGTCTGGTTGACGCCTGGCAGGAAGATGACCTTGCTGTTAGCCGACTTGGCCATGGCCTGCATCGCCTCCAGGTAACGGATCTGCATGGCGGGCGCGCTCGAGAGGATGTCGGCGGCTTGGCGCATCAACTTGGCCGACTCGACCTCGGCCTTGGCCGCGATGATCTTGGACTCTCCGATGCGCTTGCTCTGAGCCGCCATCGACAGCGACTCCTGGAGCTCCTGGCTGAAGATGATATCCTTGATGAGCATGCTCTCGACCTGCACGCCCCAGCCCGCGGCGACGTCCTCGATGATCTCGCCGATGGACTGCGCGACCTCCTCGCGCCGCTCGATGACGTCTTGGAGCACGCGCGCGCCCACGACGTGGCGGAGCGTCGTCTGCGTCCGCTCCACGAGCGCCTGGCGCACGTTGGCGATGCCGAAGGCGGCCTTGTGCGGGGACACGATGTGGTAGTAGATGACCGACGTGAGGTTCAGCGTCACGTTGTCCTTGGTCATGCAGACCTGCTTCGGGACCTCTGCGGGAGGCAAGATATGATGCATCAGTAGTGCCATCGCAACACGCAGGGCGCTCCTTGGGGCTCACTCACCGACGATCTGAATCTTGACATCAACCTGGACAAGGCGCTCGCTCAGGGGGTTGATCTTGACCAGGCCAGGGTCAACGGCCTTGTAGAAGCGGCCGAATTTGGTGACCAGACCGACGTTGCCCTGATTCACATTCTTGTATGGGTTGGGGCAGCAGATGCAGCAGGGGACGGAGCCCATGGTTCCGATGATGGCACCGAAGGCATTGACTGTTGTTGGGAAGAGCAGCGTCCATGGTCAGCTTTCCTCAGTTCCTGTCGACCCAACAGGTAGTGCGGCCGCCTATCATCCCGACATACTCATGATGCCGTAGAAGCCCTTGGGGTTCGAGTCGTCGCCGACAATACTCGCGTACGACTTCTGCAGGTCCTCCTGGCGCGGCGGCTGGACCGTCATGTTGACCTGGGGCCGGAAGCCGACGGTTGGCCCATCGCCAGACTCGGGCGCCTTGGCGGCCCTCGAGGTGCCAGCGCCGCCCGCGCCGTTGGTGGCCCCCGACATGTTGGTGTTGGCCGGCGCAGACATGCTGGATCGCGACGGCTGTCAGGGAGGTGGAGCTGCTGCAGACAGTGGCAGACGGTGGCAGATGGTGGCTCGCGCTTGCGACTAATGGTGGGTGGAAGAGCTTGTCGCAACCCGAAAAGAATTGGGCAGGTATTTTACTTTTTATCGTTTGGGAACCAAAGCAAGCTCGGCCAAGAAATCGCAACGTGAGGGGAAAGAAACAATTGGGATGGGTTGACGTTGCACGTCTCGGTATTTATGAATGGCCCTTGTCCCAATTCCCAATCCCCGATCCATCCTCAAGCTTTTATTATGTGGTCTTTTGCTCGGGCGTCGGGTCACGCTCTCTCGGCGTGGTGACGCTGGGGACTGGGCAACGACAACCACATTTTGGCGCCCAATCAGTGCGTCGGAATGCTGCGAGGCAGTGGCAGCGCAGCCCTTTCGTTCGCCTTCAAGTCCCCCAATTGCCATCCTTTGTGGCCGCAACCTCGTCTCCATCCCACCCACACCCTGCCGTCGCAAGCAGGCAGGAGCTTGGGCCGCGTGCGGGGGCCTAGGAGCTAAAACCGCCCAATCGGGCGGGGGGCGCCAAAGGGACAAAGGGAGCTACGGTGTGGAGTGTGGGGAACTTCCCTTCCAAAGGGAACGTGGCGACGGAGAAGGCGAACCACAGGGCAGATCCCAGGACAGCCACCGAGGCCCAAAATTGCTTGCTGCATTTCCCATCCTATCAGCCTGCGGCTTTGGTCTCACCGCTCCTACGGGAGTCCTTCGAATGAGGCTGAGGGTCTGGTTCTTGCACGGCCCAGCACAGGGACCAGAAGTGAGCCAACTAGGTAAGCCAACCAGGTAAGGTCATCAGGGTTGCTGCCTGTGCCCTTGGCTCTCTCGGCCGCCCACCTCTCCGGGGTCACTTGCTGACTGACACCCGCCGTTATTATGCGCGCCGAGTGCCGCGAAATTGAAACTGACATGCCATTCCAGTGTAACCTCGCCAATGCAATGCAAGGGCCTTCCTTCCCTCGATGCCCAGGCGTCGGGTCATCATCTTTTTACACATCTGATGTTACGGCCTATTGTCGGTTCCGCACCACGACGAGACGACACCCAAAACCATTCGATGCATCTCCTCATCGGGACATTTCCCCTCGCACGCCTCTTGTTTCAAACCCCGCGCTTTCCGATGACGGACGACTTTTGTATCCCGTCCCAACCGCGAACCAGCCCAGACGGGAGCTTAATGATAACTCCCGCGAAACCAAACGAAACAAATCACTATCATGGGCCCATGTCTAGCCTTCCATGCTTCCCCAGCTGGAGCAAGATCCAACACATCCGTGAGGTTCGAACAAAACAGAGCTGGCTTTGCTGCACGCACCCAATAGTCCCAAACACAGCCACCCTCACCTGGCCACTATCCCCATAGAGTTGACCTCGTGCCGATCGGTATCCGTATCGTCAGTCAGATTATGACGATGGTCATCCTCGGCAGCGGATTGTCCAGAGGCCATCTCCCCACACACACCCAAAGGTGCATACTGTACATGGGCAACCAGCGCGGAAACGCAAATACGACCGCATCACCAACACCTCTGCCCAATCTCATCCTTTCCCTCCCCACCATGACCAGCCTCGTGATCCCGCAAAGCCTCGCCGTTCCGATCGACCCACCCAATGAGCATACGCATGTATCGTCCATCATCGACTGCTGCGCCTCGAAAAAGGAACAGAACCCCCGACCCAAACTGCAAAGAGAAATCTTCTAGAAGAATGCTCCCATACACCCACTTGCCCGGAAGCTAGCCCAGATCTTCCCCCCAGGCCTTGGCGAAGATCTAAGGCACCATGACGTCCGTCGATATTGTGAACAGGTCCCTTTCATGGCAACCACCGTTTGCGCTGCCACTAACTTCCGTCGATGGCAGGAAAAAAAGTTAGGGTTTTTGTTGCCTAGTGGTGGTGGTATCAGCCCACAGCCGAGGCATTCATAGATTACACCAGCAGGTTGAACCTTTGTTCCGCTGACTGCGATATGCCCCCGGCTCTTCCCGGGACAGGTCGCCGTACGCGCCCCTGTAGCGAAGGTAGACAAACGAGACTGCTGCGCCCCCTCTCGGTCGTTCAATATGGACTGCGCTAGGGAGCTGCACCCGCTATCGTGCTTCTCTCGAGCCCGGTGTTAGGTCAGCTGCGCCTGCTCGGTTAAGAAATCGCCGACAGCCAGGCGGAAAGACATTCTCCGGGTGCCAGAGCCCACATTACCGACAAGCAAACCCTCTACGAAAACATATCTTGTGGGAACAACATGGTGGTGCACCCTTGCAATCGAGTTCCCAGGGTGAGGCAAAACATGTTCATGGGTATCAGTCTCGATGACTATGTACAGAGAAGATCAAAGAAAATGGACTGGTAGGTGAAGGAGAACCTGTATAGAAAAAAGGCGCCATGCAAGCAAAAATGCATTGAAATCATCCAAGAAGACAGCCAAAAACGGAGAAACACCCCCTAATCCCTCATCGACTTCCCAATCTCGCTCTGCCAGTCCTTGGCCCGCTCGAACCCGTTGGAGTGGGTGTGAAAGTCAAACATGGCCTTCTGGACCTCCTCCATCGAGTTGACGACAAAGGGGCCGTACTGCACCACCTTTTGGTCCAGTGGCGTGCCGGCCACGAGCACGAACCGGCCGGGCGCCGCGGCGTCCCCGTCGACCGAGGCCAGGATCGCCTCGCCCTGGGGCTCGAAGACGACGTTGTGATACTGCGGCGCGGCCCTGACCTCCCCCTCACCCTCGGCGCTACTGCCGTTGCGGAACTTGACGTCGGCGCCCTCGAGCACGTAGGCAAAGGCGTTCCACCCCTCGGGCAGCGGCTGTGCCACCTTGCCGCCGGGCTTGATCTCGACGTCGAGGATCCACACAGGCGTGTAGGCCAGGTCCTTGACCGAGTCGACGCCGTGGCTCTGGCCCGAGATGACCTTGATCTTGACCTTGCCGTCGTCGGCCTCGGCCGCGGGTATCTCCTTGGCGCGCAGGTCGCGGTACCGGGGCTCGCACGACTTGAGGTGCTTGGGCAGGTCGACCCAGAGCTGCAGGCCGACGTTTGCGCTGCCGTCGGGGTTCTGGCGCGGCATCTCGGCGTGCACGATGCCCTTGCCCGCCGTCATGAACTGCAGGTCGCCCGCCTCGATGGTGCCCTTGTTGCCCGCAAAGTCCTCGTGGTCGACGCCGCCCGTGAGCAGGTACGTGATGGTCTCTTGGCCGCGGTGGGGGCTGGCAGAAGAAAGAAAGAAAGAAGAATAGTGTTAGCCACGGCGCTGCTGGACGCGAAAGGGTATCTACTGTCCCCCCAATGCGGACTCGGGCGGCAGACTTACTGGTCGGGGAACCCGGCACCGGGCTTGATGGAAAAGTGATCGAGCATCAGGAAAGGGCTAAAGTTGCGCAGCGCCGGCGTCCCGACCGAGCGCCGCACGCGCGCGCCCGCACCCTCGGCCTGCTCCACGGCAAGGAAGACCTTGCGGATCGCGCGGGGGACGGACATGTCGGTCGCGTAGAGGTGAGTCTCTGGATGCTGCAGTTCGGGGGCGGCGCCTGTTGCTCTTGCGCTCGCTGCGGTCGTCGTCGTCGTCGTCGTCGTCGTCACGATGTCCTGCTTTGCGGCAAAGAGCTCTCGCGAGTAGCGGTCGTAGGTCGTCTTCAAGCTTGCGACAATGTCGTCGACGCGGTCTCGAAAGAGCAGTATGGAGCAGAATCCAACCAGTATGGGTATGAGAATCGAAAGGGCCTTCATGGGGGGCGATCGAGGAGCGGGGCTCCTTATATAGAACGGGGGAAGTGGTGGTCGGTCGGTCCCAGAGCCTCAGTGGTCAATCGCGCCCAAGATACCGAAATAGTGGCTGTCAAGATCCTTGATTTGCAATGGGTGGCATCCGAAAACCCGCGCGAATAACCAATTGGTGCATAAGCAGGCAGAGAGGGGCCTGCCCGAGAAACAAAGAGAAGCTTCCCATCTTCGCGACGCCCGCTAAAAAAAGGCTGCCGCCGCCGTCAGTGTCGTGGGCTTTCAAACCCCTTATTCTTGGCCGACAGCTCCCCTCCCCCCACCGATATTACCAACTGTTACACATCACGCCCCGCGGGGCCAAACGAGGTCTAGCGTGGTTCTCTGGGGACCCTACTTTGTCAGCTCTCTGTCAGCCCATTTTGGGACCTCGGCGATTGGAAGCTGCCCGCGGCGCCAGGAACATTCGAACCGGGCATCATGCGCCTGGAATGGAAGTGCATCACTGCCCAGCGTTCTAATAAAACCTCGCTATCCAGCCTACAATGGCAACAAGACACCTCGTGCTGTATGCACCAAACACGAAGCAGTGCGCGGAATGCCCGTGTCGGTCCTGGCCGCCCTGCGCTAGCACGTGGATTCCATGCTCGTCCAAGTCGCCGTGCTTTGTTCCTGTCGCTCGAGCACTCACGGTCACCCGAGGAAGGCCTCGGACTGGCCATCGAGATCTAACGTCATCGGGATTGAAATAGAACAACGTGCTATTAGAACCGTCAGCTGGTTTATCGTACGAACTATAGCACTACTCATGCCTCAGCCGTGGCCGCTGGTGTCCCCAAGCCCCAAAGCCCCTGATTCCCTCGTCTTCTAAAGAAGGCTGCGCTGCCAAACAAGAGTGCCTTCGTTGCAAAACATCCCCGAGACCCCCAACACCATCATAACAAGAGAAAAAAAATGTGGAGGGTAGATGGGGGCTGTTGTTCAAGCAACATGAGAAGATTCCGGAAACAGAGAAAAGACGCCGCTGACAGTCCGTCGAGAGAAAAGGAGAAAGGGTCAAGTCAGTACAAAATAGAACAAGGAAAGAGAATAGCAAGGTATAACAAAACAATCTTTCCCGTCTTGGCCGATAATGCATCGCGTTTTGGGGGCGCCCGTCTCTGAGGTCCAACCGTCTGAGCTGCACAAAATTACAAGAAAACAAATGAGAGAAACCGAGTGTGAATGTCCGAAAGTTTCTTGGCTGAGATAATGGGGGAGAGAGGGGCACCGGCAGTGCGTTCTGACAGTGAACTGCTACGAACCAGTCTCAACGCACGAAAGAAAGTCGTCCGACCTCGGACCAGCCATCAACCGCGAAGCCGTTTCAAATGAGCAATGGCCAGCCATGTGCGGTCTGGCAACATCGCCGCAGCTGTCTCCAGAGACTCCCGCCCTCTCGAGTTGGTCTCTTTCGAAGGGTATTTGAGGGGTGTGTGAAGGGGAGAAAGACGAGAGTCTCGAGCGAACCACTTAGCCCAGGAGAGAAATCTAGTTGTTAGCAGCTGCCTTGGCCTCTTCCTTCTTGGCGTTCAAGAAGGTCCTGGCCCAGCTCAACGATTCGGCCGTCACAATCAGGGCGGTGCTGAAAAGAGCTTTGCCGTACGCGACCAGGGGGCCGCTGTTGCCATCACTGTTGATGCTCTTGAACTCCTGGTTGTAAGTCGTGAAAACGTGGTCCTTGCCCTCGACGCCCATGCGGTATGGCAGGGTGACGAGGTTCTGAACATCGGCGTACAGCTCGGCCGACGGCTTGGTCACGACAGGGAAGGTCTCGTCCACCCTAGCGAGCGTCTTGTCGCCAATGTCGTCGGCCCTCTTGACGTAGGGGCTGACATACTGGTAGGGCTTCGCGAGGTAGGGGATCACGGGCTTGGCAAATGTCTGGTAGGCCGAATCTCCCAGCGCCAGGCCCTTCTGGCCATACTGGTTCTGCTTCAGGGCCTCGACGCTGTCGTTGACAACGGGGTACTTGAGAAGGTGCTGTGGCGACATGTCTTGTTAGCGTTTT